GGAAGAGGAAGAAGGACTCATCAGCGAGTTTAGACATGGCGGGAGGGGGGTGGGTTCGGTGCTACTCTCTCTCTGCTTTGAGGAACAAGAAAGATCGGGCGGAGAAAAAAGGGAAGATGAGGGAGAGGGGAGTGAGAGAGTGGGAAGGAAAAAGAAAACAGTGGTAGAAGTTTCGGGAAGGAAGAAGAAAATAAAAATGGTATAATATTAATTTATACAAATTAAATAATATAATATTAATTATAAATAAAAAATATACTAATATTTTATTTTCTATTGCCAGGGCTATTCAAGTGTAACGGTGGAGATGCAAAAGGTAATTACTGTTCATTAAGGGCAGTTACTGTTCATTGGGTGGATTAAATAGTGAATAGCCTGGGGGAGGGTTTCCAACGGTGGAACTGCTCTAAAGGGTTTGGAATATTCATGTCCCAAACAGACAATATAAAAGATCAGCATCAATTTCTGTTATTGATCAATAAATTGATTAATTTCTTGGTAATTCAGTTGTTTAGTTTATTATTCTCTTTGAAATTATGTCTTTCTCACATGAATAAATAATTGTAAATAAGTTAATTTAAAATTTTGATTAGTCATAAGTGGTGAATTGTCCTAATAAATAAGGCATTTTTGTTTAACCCATCGCAACATGAGTTCAATTCCTCCATTTTCCCAATGCACTAGTTTAGATTAATAAATAATAAGGAAAATTAATGAAAATGGTTTGAAAACTTTGAGTTTTAACGATAAGAACAAAATAAATGGTAAAATGAATGATACCATGGTTGACTTTTTAGTGTAAAAATGTGATTTTTCGTTAAAATGAACAGTACTAAGAGCTTTTCGTTAAAATTCCTTTAATAATATTGCTTCTATTAAGATAAACTCTGATTCTCTACTATTCTCTGCATACCTTTAGTAGGTTCTTGCTTTAAATTCTGACTAGCGCAGCATTTCCATGTTCTATGTCTGTAACTAAGGTATCATCATTAATTATTATGTTCTATTTGTTTCTCAGATTGCATATTCTGGTGTATCATAATTAATTATTTTTTGGAAATTAACTTAATTAAGGGTCCATTTAATGATTATTATGTTTTTAGGTTTTATTTTAGTTTTTTGGACATGAGAAAAATATATGAGGAAAATGTTTCATGAAAAAGAGTGGTACATGTAGAAGGACGGGGAAGAATCCGTTGAACGTCAATGTCAACAAAAACTTGAAAGCATAGACAACTTAAATTAGTTTTTTATTTTAAAATTTTTATTTTTGTCTCTTTCATCGTACATTTCTTTTATTATTCTACATTTCTTCTGTCTTTTTGTGTCCCAATCACACAAAAAAAAGACAAATAAAATAAAATAATGAAATTATTATAATCAAAGCCTTAATTTATCTAATTATTAATTAAGTATGTACACCATATTTTTTATGATCAGTTCTTCGTGCTGCCTTCCTTTTCCCTTACACAAGAAAAACATGAAATTAAGACATTTCTAGGGTTCATACGTCGGTTTTGTAATTTTCTGCTATTCTTTTCAATATTATCATGGTAATTAAATTTAACTCTGTTGGTTTGTTGCATTAACATCATTTTCTAATTCTTTTTTTGTTAATATTTCTCAAAACTGAAGTTTTAGTTAACATGATTAGTTATCCATCAAACATTTATGTCGCAGTGGATTAAGAAAGAAACATATAAATGTTTTTGTATAATTAGTGTAAGCATCAACTTAGACATGTCTCCATGTCAGACTCATATGAACTTTTGGCTCTTCTATGCGTCGAACGGCCATCCAATGCCAAACTCTTAACATCATAAAAGATTTTTGGTGCCTTTGGAATACCGTTATGTGGTGAAAGTATTATGTTTGAAAAAAATTGAGATTCTACCATAAAATTTTGATAATATGAGGAGTAGCTTAATTTTTTAAGCTTTTGCATATTTTGGTCTCTCACCGATTTGGGGCATTGTCCCACATTTTCACACGCCCCTCACAAATGACAAATTTTCAAGCCTAATACGTGAACAACATACATTGGATGACGTGGAGATGTGTAGCCGTTGGGCTTCACATGTGGGCCAACTTACTACTCTGATACCATGAAGAACATTAAGGTTCCACCATAAAATCAATTTGCAATTTAGAAAGTAGCTCAACTCTTCATATGCCCTTACATGGTTTGGTCCCTTACCGATTGAGACTTTGTCCTCATATTCTACACGACTAAAACTATAACACGTGTACATTGTTTTTCAAGTAATATATGTCTCTCACTCGTAATGTTAGTTTCTAAACTTCTAAAATATGCGACATGCATGCATGCGTGTAAATTTGTAATAGTAACTGTTTTGACAGTTTCTTTATCAATTTTCTTACGTAAAGGTTGCAAACGATCATAAAATTCCAAGGGTATAGGAAAATTATGAGATATAATATAGTGCTCGTTGGTGCTCCTGCATCCTCACAAGAACAAAGCATGAAAGTCATCGATGGGAGACTTCACATAATAAAGGTCATACAGTACGTAGTTGGTTTGGTCATAAATATTTCTTAGCTCAAATTCCTTTCCATCTTTGAATCTGTCTTTGTTTTCTGTACGCATCTGGCCCCCCACCTGGGCTATGACCACATTTTGAAAACGAATTATCAACCATGCACGACTAATATCAACTTTTCACACTAACCACATTTTGTAAACGAATCAACCATGCACGAGTAATATCAACTTTTCACACTAACCACATTTTTTGACGAATTATGAACCATGCAAGACTAACATCAACTTTTCACACTTAATTTATTACTTACATATAGTTATTTTAAGCGACCGATTGGTGGCCAGAGACTGATCACTTTGGATCTCACTGTTCCGAGTTCAAAAATCAAGTAATTCGGACAACTTAAATTGAGTTTGATGATCCTATTAACTCATTTTGCTGGTCCTCATCACACAAACCAAGTGCTCCGTTTTCTCTTTAATACAAATGAACAACTCGAATTTCCTAATTATTAAGCTCTGGACACTGAGGTTCGAAGAAGTTCCGAAGTCATGAATGGTAAGCAAATTACACTGTTTTAGAGTCCCACAAACTTTTCTTTTTGCTTTCTTGTTAAGCAAGTAGGGCCGGTCTTGAGAATTTGGGGGCCCTAGGCGAGCCTTCGAAGTGGGGCCTTAAAATTCTCTGATCTCCGGTTCTTTATATAAAAAAGAATTCGCTAAATACATAAAAAGTTTTATTTTCACATCAAATATCATTAAAAATTAATATCAAAAGAACATAAATATACAAACATTATTTAAACATTACACGATTCACGTTTTTAGACAAAAATGTACTAAATGTTTGCAGTCAAGAGTTTAAGATTGAGTGAAGAACAATAAAACTTGATAATCAAGAGAGTAAATAACAATAAAACTTAATTGACGAGTATAATAAATTCAACACCAATAGTTTTTCTTGTGTTTTTTTATTCTTCTAAAATCAATATCACACTAACGAATTGAATATTAAAATAATCCATTGAATAAAAAGTTATTGAAAAGAAAAATATATAATTCAATTCAAAGTTTTGATTACCTTAAAGTACAATCTTTAAGACCATATGATAGTTGGTTTAAACATTCAATAGAAATGGAGAGAATGGGAAGTTGGTTTAAACATTCGATAGAAATGGAGAAAATGAGAAGTGGAAAGAAAATAGATTGCAAAGAGACTTGAGTTTTATAACTTTATATGCATTTGGACAGATGTATTGTGAGTAAATTTGAAAAACAAGAAAAATCTAGTGATTGAAAGGTAGCTTCGTGTTTCGAACGCAACACCCCAAAGAAAAATGAAGCCAACATTTCCACTTCACTAACAAATGAATTATGATTTTTTTTTTTGTTTTGTTTTGTATTTATATGTTAATTACATGATATAAATTTTTTTTAAAGCCCTTCCGAAGTGACGGCCCTAGACGGGTGCCTACTTGAGCTACCCTCAAGGCCGGCCTTATAAGCAAGACTGCACCAAATATCTTTCAAATTGAATTTGTTCTCTTTAACATTTACTTCTTTCTTCAATGGTGCGCAAACATTGTTAGATAGTTTTTCTTCATCTCATGTCACATCCAGTATCAGAAAGAACTGGTGGGAACAAGAACATCAATGTACTCATACGTGTGTACAAATGGCGAAGTGAATGTAAATTGTAGGGGACATTGACTAAAATAATTATTTGACAAATTTCTACTGTTGGATTACTCAAATATTGACTATACAACAGTCAAATACTGACCGTACATTGATTGAATAGTGACGACATGGAAATCAATACTGAAAAAATAATCACTCCAACAACTCAAAATTAGAAATGGATCATTTCAGCCGATTTTTTAAGCTTACGTCTATAAATATCACACTAGAAAAATTACCCACATGACATTAATTCAACATTCGTATAAACAAACAAAAAAAATTCTCATCTGTTATGGGAAAAAAAATATGAGAACTTTAACGAAAAACTCTAGGTACTGTTTACTTTAACGAAAAACCATATTTTTACACTAAAAGTCAATCATGGTACTATTCACTTTACCCTTTATTTTGCCCTTATCGTTAAAATTCAAAATTTTCAAATATATTTCATTAGTTTTCTTAAAAAATATTTTAGTCAAGTTGATAGTTAGATGGACCAAGAGATCCATAGCCTAAACTTTCTAGTTCCTAAAAACAAAGTCGTGTAAAGTGTATAATTCATGATAAGTAGTTTTGGGCTCTCGAATCTTAATCAAATGGCCCAAACTTTCTCTCATATCTGGATCCAAAGCTACATACATGACGTGGCAGAGGATTATTGGATAAGAAAACAGCAGAAAGCATTTTGGGTCCTACAAGGAAACGTGGGCCAACCTACCAATCAACGGTAAACTACCATTCTTTCAAAAAACCGCCAAACTGAGTCAGCACCGAGTCCAATGCAACTCGTCACTCGTGACCCCCCAAAACCCTCTCTCTCGCTCCACTCTCACCGATTCCAGTGCAATCGCCAACTAACCCACAAACCCAACTCGCTCCCTCACTCGCACCGGTTCGGTGTGAACTCGGCGGCTGCCATGCTCAAAGGCAAGCTCAATCTCCCCGAAAAGACCAAGCGAGTTTTCCCGGACCGACTGGGCAGCCTGGTCGCGGGATTCGAAAACAAAGCGGAAGAAAATGGTGGGTCCGATCTGGTGTTCGATTCCGGCGAGGAGCTCGAGATGATTCTGCCAAACGGGTACGGGTCGGGCAGAGAGAGTCAGATTGATGAAGAGGACGATGATTTTGATGATGAGAAGTTGGACAGAGAACCGGATTTGAGGGTCCAGCAGAGACCCGAAAGAGAAGGGTCGGGTTCGTTGTCGGTGCTGGCGGCCATTGCGGCGGATGATAAAAGGTCTGATCTTGAGTATGAGGTGAGAATTTGAAAAGTGAGAAAGAACAGAGAAAAAGATTGCATTTTTATTAATCTAATTGATTTTTTTTGTAATTTGTTAAAACTTAAATAACTGATTTGTTTGTTTATTATCTATTTTTCGTTTTTAATTAGGGTTTTTTCTGGAGTTTAGTAGGTTTAATTTTTGTGTAAATTACCAGGAAATTGAGACAAAGATTGAAAGATTTCACAATGTAGTCAAAAGGTGTAATCTTTTTTTTTTTTGGAATATAAGGAACATTTTACTTAAAACTAATCTAAGTGGAGGAGAAGAGGATTCAGACTCGGATGCATAGAGAAACACATTCGCTCTAGCAAATGCGTGGCTACGCCCACGTCCATCTAAGGTGTAACATTAGGATATGTAGCAGATATTTAGGATGAAGGAAAATAGTAGTACCGCACTCAAATCCTTTGTCTTTGTGGATTTTGTTTGAGTTGCAACCAACAAAACAAGACAATGTTGATAGTTTGTTGATCATTTTTACATACATTTCTGCAGAAACAGTAGAAATCATAACAGGCTTTACAATTTGTTGTTTGTTTTCTTCTTTTTTCTTTGCCCCGGTAATTATTTGCTTTCGGATTTTTATGTATTTTTCTTTTATCAATTAGCTTTCTCAGCCAGAGATAAATTTGGAAAAGTTACAAAGAATCGCTAGCTCAGGGCTTCCGGATGGAGGAGGTTTGCGTGCAACAGCCTGGAAGGTACCGACTTAGTTTCACTAGCAGCTTTTGCAATGTAAAGTTGATTATTCCAACTAGATTAATTAACAGATCTTCAGACCACAACCATTACTTATGAGGTGAATTTGTTGTTTCGGATTTTATGCGTATGTGTATATCAAATTATCAATGTAGATGTGTATGTATTGAATTTCAAACCTTTGAACAACATATCGCCAGTGATGACAAGTAACTTGTTGACTGACGATTTAGATGCTTTACGAATAGGAGAATAAGGCTAGTATTTAATGATTGTCCTTACGTTTCATACGCACAGCTGCTCTTGGGTTATCTACCTCCTTCCCGGGATTTATGGGAAAAAGAACTGATTGAAAACCGACAAAAATATGCCAAGCTTAAAGAGGAGCTCCTCCTGAGTCCTGTAAGATGCTCACCAAGTTTCCTAGTGACCAAACTATACATTACTCTTGTTAATGTTTATTATGCACTAATCAAAATCTTGAATCTAGACAGTCACAAATCACAAAGAGAAAAATTGGTGATTTGAGTTATTGCGATCAGCCTGCTGACGGCAATGTTGATGGACCGCTGAAGCGATCTGAAATTTCCGAGGAAGATCACCCTTTAAGCCTTGGTAAGGCTAGTGTTTGGCATCAATACTTTCAGGTAAAATGCCTTTTTCATTATAAGACTGTATCTTGGCTTCCTTCTGTATGATTAGGTGACGTCAATCCTGCTACATGTTTACTTATAGCATACAGAGATTGCAGAACAGATAGACCGCGATTTACAACGAACACACCCGGATCTGAAATTCTTCTCAGGGGAGTCATCATTCAGCAGGAAACACAGGGTATTTGATTCCCACCGAATAAACTCTTTTTCTTAAGTTTGTGCCCTTGTGTTTGTCTCAGATGTCCGGCAAATAGACTGACAGTGTCACTAACCGGATCCTTACTGCCTTTCCCTTTTCAGGAATCAATGAGAAGCATTCTTCTGCTGTTTGCAAAACTAAATCCAGCTATCCGTTACGTGCAAGGCATGAATGAGGTCTTGGCACCAATATACTATGTCTTTAGTACTGACCCGAATGAGCAAAATGCTGTAAGAGAATTGCCTGGAAATTTTTCTCATCTTTTTATTAGATGTCTTTTGTCTTATAAATGTTTGATATAACATCCTTCTAATGTTCAAGTGTAAAAAGATGTAAACCCGTAGGATGGTTTCATTCTTCAGGTAAATGCAGAAGCAGATAGCTTCTCTTGTTTTGTCCGACTCTTGAGTGACTCAGTGGATCACTTTTGCGAACAACTGGATAACAGTGCAGTTGGTATACTCTCCACTCTCTCCCGCTTGTCAGAATTATTGAAAGCCAACGATGAAGAACTGTGGAGGCATCTAGAGTTCACTACAAAGGTAAAAAATTATATCAAAGCGAATTACAAGAATTACATTAACCATTTTTTCGTATTTTTGTGGTGAAGTTGAACTAAGATGCCCTTTTCAACATATTATGTTGCGCCTAACTTTGTAGCTTATAAATTATGCACTCTTATGCAGGTGAAACCGCAATACTATGGATTCAGGTGGATCACATTACTACTTACACAAGAATTCAACTTCCAAACCATCTTGAGAATTTGGGATTCACTATTGAGCAGCCCTTTTGGTGTGCAGGTATTATCTCTCTCCCTGTCTCTCTGTGTACTAGTAACTCAGCAGTCAGTATTGGGATCAGTTTTCCTCTTTTCTTTCTCATTTTTACTTTGGTGATGCGCCGTCATGAACAAACAATGATGTCTTTGAAAAACAACTTCTGCAGGATATGCTTCTAAAAGTTTGTTGCGCAATGCTGCTATGCGTGAAAAGTAGACTGTTAAGTGGCGATTTTGTGGCAAACTTAAAACTTCTGCAGCGCTATCCAGACATTAACATTGAACACCTTCTCCAGGTAGCTCGAGATCTTAGTTCTGACCCATCTTCGTATCGTTTGTCGTTGCCACTGTAAATCCATTACCAACACGCACGATTCTGTACACAATTTTCACTTTACCGTTTGTAACGATGAACAAAACAGCTGTTGCTTTAGCTAATTTGTGGCGAACAATTCTCAATGATATGGAAAATGTTCAGCAACCTGCAGACAACCAGGCTGAATTTCATGAATTTGCAGATGCATGAGTATCTCACCGAAATAATCAATCAATTACGGTTGGTTGGCCCGCTCACGTCCCTGTGAGAACAGTTCGCATATTGACCCTCAAAATCAGCTGCAGAATATTAATTAATTTCAATGTGACACCTTAAATAAAACCCTTGATGATCAACTAGAAGGTTTATTTATTCATGTTTTCTCAACCTGCATGTTTACTTGCACCAGTAGAAAAAATTGCTTGGGAGACAAGACTTAAGGCAACAAAGCATATTTCGTCGCCCAAGAAAAATTGCGCGACACAATAAGCACTTCATCGTGCCAAATGTTCACGTCAAAAAATAAAAAATAAAACCAAAAACTTTGCGGAAGGAAATTGATAGTTGATTTGATTCCTAATTTTCCAGTCAGTAATTGGATTACGAATTTTTACTTGAAATTCACATTTTAATAAATTGTATGCGTTAGTAAACACAAAGCAATCTCAAAATTGAAATAACTTCGATAATCATATTTTAATAAATGTCAAAAATTTGAGAACCACAATAACTTCATATAATAAGTTGACACAAAGAGTTGTATCACATAACTTACATGATACATGGTACAAGTATCGTGCCTAACACGTTGTCCATCAAGCTAATCACCTTTTTCAGCAGTCAATTTGTTGTTTAGAAGCCTCCAATTTTGAATGAGACAGTTAGGATGGTAGAATGTTTATCCAAAAATATAATTAAAACTAGAGCAAGTTATGATTTTTGAATAGGAATTTAACCTAATCTCCGCCGTCCATAACGTGCTAATCCTATTGCATGGCTGTTTACCTGCACCACCAATGCATATCTTAGTATTTTTATATTATCTAGTAGTATTTTTACCTGCACCACCACGAACCACTCCATATAATAGAAAAATAAAACGAAACCACTAGGAAATATATATATTATTTCGACAGTTTTCTCCCCATTGTTTCACATAATATATATACATATACATATATAAACATTATGTCTCTGTGTATCTGTGCATATATGTATACATTATTTTAAGGAAGTGACAACTTAATACAATCTCATCTGTTATTCTTCGTGATTGTTTGACTTGCATGTTCTTGTTCTCACCTTTTGTCCCAAAATTCAGAACTTGGTGTTCCTTCCTAGCCAAGTTTTTTGAATGCTTAAGTTTTCTTCGTGTCAGCAGCAGCATAAAATTTACTTGTGATTTCGTTGATTGCCGGAGCTGCTAGCCCGTCTTCGATTTGCAGATACAGTTCGAGAGATCGATATGGTGGCGAAACCAGTGCTCCTGCATGGAGTACTGCATGCAACTATCTACGAGGTTGACAGGCTCATGCCTGGTGGTTGCTGCATTTTCTTCTGCAAGGTATAAACCTCATTATCCTTTTTCCTTCTTTCTTTCTTTCTGAATTGTGTTGTTTGTCATGTTACTTGAGTTTTTAATGTTTCCTTCTCAAAACTTGATGATCAAGTCATAAATTATTTTCCTTTAAATTTGTTTTGCTTTAGATTTATATATTATTATTATTATTATTATCTCTAACAAATCAAATATGATCCAAAATTTCTCATTATTAATTTCTTATGCAATAAATATCATATTGTGACAAATCATTTCTTCGAAAAGAAAATATATGTGTAAACACTTATTCGAAATATCACTTATCAAATTTGCTTGCGGAAGACAATTTTTTTCTGAAAAATTCATTAGGATATAATCGAATTTCCATGTTTATTGGTTGTGTGATTTCATCCTGCAAAGTGGCTGCAACTACAGTAACATTTACTGTATCTATGTCCATAAATGGATCAAGATCCTCTCCTGAGCAAAGGGTGAGGATCCTCCTGATCAAGCCTATTGAGCCGTTGAAATTTTATCCAACTGTTACAAACATGGGCCCCTCTAAAAGTTATAATAATTGTAGCTGTTGGATAAAATTTCAACGGCCCGATGGGCTTGGTCAGGAGGATCTTCACCCTTTGCTCAGGAGAGGATCCTGATCCTCCATAAATGACTCACGAGTCACCGCATTTTTAGGAAAAATTATAGCAATGCTACATGAACTTTGAACTATATAAAGCTTGACCAATTAAACTTCATTTTGCGACATTTTACTAACTGAACATTTGATTTGTATTTGAAAACTCACAGTTAGTTGTAGAGTGTTGTTATCAACACTCGAAGAAGGTCAGCATGCACTTCATCCTATTCGAATTTTATCTTGGTACTTTCACAATTGCTGTCCAAAAAAAATCATGAACGGGGTCGTGTGACCTCCTTTGACTTAATTTCACAATGTGAGAAATCTAACTTCAGTAAATGTCATGATTTAATTTCACTGCAGTTTCTTGGAGAGTCAGTAGGGCTACGGAAAGGTTCCAGACTCTATGCAACAATTGATTTGGAAAATGTAAGAGTTGGACGAACCAGACTGCTTGAAAACTCAACGAAAAATCCCCAGTGGCGTGAATCTTTTCATATTTACTGTGCACACATGACTTCAAATGTTGTTTTCTCCATCAAAGAAGACAAAGCTTTTGGGGCCAAAGTTATCGGAAGGGCTTACATGCCGGCAGCAGAACTCCTCAATGGCAAAGAAGTAGACAGATGGCTTACGATCATGTATCACAACAACAAACCTCTGCATTCAAAAATTCATGTGAAGTTGCAGTTCTTTAACGTAAACCAGGATTTGAATTGGTCTTGTGGAATAAGAAGTCCTGAATTCCAAGGAGTTCCATACACATTTTTCACTCAGAGAAATGGTTGCAGAGTTACCCTTTACCAAAATGCTCATGTCCCCAGAAATTTCACACCGAAAATCCCTCTTGCCGGTTCCATGTATTATGACCAGCACCGATGCTGGGAAGACATTTTTCATGCCATTTCTAATGCAAAAAACTTGATATACATAGCAGGTTGGTCTGTATATACTAAAATCACATTAGTAAGGGACCCGAACAGTCAAATCCTGGGAGGCGATTTGACCCTCGGAGAGCTTCTTAAGAAGAAGGCAGATGAAGGAGTGAAAGTCCTAATGCTTGTGTGGGATGATAGAACTTCAGTGAAGTTGCTGAAGAGAGATGGAGTGATGGCTACTCACGATGAAGACACTGAAAGTTACTTCCACAACACGGCAGTTCACTGCGTGTTGTGTCCCCGAAACCCTGACAACGGGAATAGCATTGTTGAGGATTTAGAGGTTTCCACCATGTTTACGCATCACCAGAAGATTGTTGTGGTGGACAATGAATTGCCTAATGGAGAAGGGTTGGAAAAGAGGAGGATTGTGAGCTTCATTGGTGGCATTGATCTTTGTGATGGGAGATATGACACTCCTTCACATCCAATTTTCAGGACTTTAGACACAACCCACAAGAATGATTTTCATCAGCCTAATTTTGAGGGAGCGTCGATTGCAAAAGGCGGTCCAAGGGAGCCTTGGCACGACATACATTGTCGGTTGGAAGGGCCTATTGCATGGGACGTCTTGTTCAATTTCGAGCAAAGATGGAGGAAGCAAGGAGGGAAGGACTTGCTTGTTGAACTCACAGAGCTTGATGACACATTTATGCCGCCATCTCCAGTTATGCTCCCTCAAGACCATGAGACGTGGACTGTTCAGTTGTTTCGCTCCATCGATGGAGGAGCTGCATTCGGATTCCCTGACTCCCCTGAAGATGCCGCCAGGGCAGGCCTTGTCACCGGGAAAGATCACGTGATTGATCGAAGCATTCAGGATGCTTATATCAATGCCATTCGGCGCGCAAAGAGTTTTATCTACATTGAAAATCAGTACTTTCTTGGAAGCTCTTTCGGATGGCATTCAGATTATGATACCCTAAAAGTAGAGGAGGTTGGTGCTTTGCATCTGATCCCAAAGGAACTGTCACTCAAGATTGTTAGTAAGATTGAAGCTGGAGAAAGATTTACAGTCTACATTGTGATGCCAATGTGGCCAGAGGGCATCCCGGAAAGCCAAACGGTTCAGGCAATATTGCATTGGCAGAGGATGACGATGGACATGATGTATAGGGACATCGTTCAAGCTCTCAAAGCCAAGGGGATTGAGGCAAACCCTAAGGACTATTTGGCTTTCTTTTGCCTTGGTAACCGCGAGAAGAAGCTACCCGGAGAATATGAACCTCCGGAAAAACCAGAACCTGGTTCGGATTACAGTCGAGCGCAGCAAGCAAGGCGGTTTATGATCTATGTTCATGCCAAGATGATGATAGGTAAGCGAAGCTTTTATCACATTCTTAGTAATTTGATCTCTTCATTAACCTAAAGAACGGATGCGTTGAACCTCATTTCTCATCAATGTTTTTTGTTTTGACCTCATTTTTTACACGATTGATTACTCCTCGCTTCGACTTTAGGTTTTAAGTCTGAAATTCGCCCAAACTTAAGACTTAAAACCTAAAATTCAAGCTCTAAATAACATTCTACACTCATAACAACTCTCTCTATATATGCGATCAAAGTTGAATAAAATTTATTAGAAATGTGGTTTTCTTGAAATGCCCACCTTTTAAAAAGAGCAAACGCCATGCAGAGAGAATAATGGATTGTAGAAAACATAAACATGTACTAATTGAAGTGTTTGAAATGCCTTGAACAATTTGCAGTTGATGATGAGTACATAATCATTGGATCAGCCAACATCAACCAGAGATCAATGGATGGAGCCAGGGATTCGGAGATTGCGATGGGAGCCTACCAACCCTACCATCTATCCACTGGAAAGCCGGCCCGGGGACAAATTCATGGCCTCAGAATGTCGTTGTGGTATGAACACTTAGGGCTGCTTGATGACACCTTTCTTGAACCAGAAAGTGTGGAATGCTTTAGAAAGGTGAACCAAATTGCAGAACAGCATTGGGACCTTTATTCATGTGACACATTAGATGGTGACTTGCCAGGGCATTTGCTTAGCTACCCCATTGCAGTTACTGAAGACGGAGAGGTCACGGAGTTGCCTGGAACAGAATTTTTTCCGGACACCAAGGCTCGAATTCTCGGGTCGAAATCTGATTTGCTTCCTTCAATACTCACTACTTAGTAATAATCTAAGGTTTCTTCTCACTTTTTTTATGCGAGATGCAGTGTATATGTGTTAATATAATAAGCAATTCTTGTATAGTTATGACAAGAATTCTCTTAGATCGGATAATTTGCTATATTTTTTATTATTTTGTGTAATTAAATTTGTCTGTTATTTTTATAAAGATATTTATATCACTTTCTTTAGAATCTTTTCTGAAGAAAAAAAAATGGGCATGGAATAAGGGGAGGGGGTGGGCGGTTGAGAGTCTTGGTCTCCTGAAATACTCATTTTGAAGATTTGTGAGGACCAAATATTTATTCAAAAAATTATATTAGTTTAGATTCAAATGCTTCTTATATTTGACAACTTAATTAAATTTGTGGCTTTAAACTATTATAATATAAGTTTTTGGATATAAACTAATATAATCTTGTAACTAATAATGCATTTGATAAGTCCTCAAAATGAAGACCTTAGAGCAAGTCCATCGGGGACTTTTTAGGTTGGCACCCAGCTCAAAAAATGGACCAGTCTGCCCTTTTTTGCTCCACCCCAGCCTAATAGGCTAGCACCCAACCCAAGCCAGGCAATAGGCTGGCCTAGAATCGACAGACCCAAGAGCCAAGCCATCTAACGTCAGGCTTGCGTCAGCTTGATGTCAAAGCCCGCTAAGTCGATGTTGCGTCCGCTATTACTGTTGATCTTCAATGTTAAGGACGATTGACCCTCTCTGCTTCTCTATTGATCTCGTCGGGCGGTTTTCAATTGGGTTGTGGTATTTGGGTTTTCTCCAAACGATGAAAAACTCAAGACGAGCTTAGTGGGATGGGTGAAGCGAGGAAGATGAAGCAAATGGGAGGGGCAAAGCAAGGAAGATGTGGAGATGTAGAGACGTCGAGATTTCGTCCCACTACGACTGCGGTTGCGGAGTATAACTGTGAAATGTGATGAGATTATAGAAGATTAGGTTTTTCTGGGATTAGATGGTAAAAATATTGAATAAGGGAAGGGTATTTTTGTCCAAAACACGCCACATATTTTAGTTAACCGAAATACGCCACATATTTTATAAAAAATTTAATACGAATTGACTAGGTTAGGTGTCAGCGCATTTTTTAGGGGTGGAGATGCATTTGACCAATTACTGTTCATGAGACTCAATTACTATTCATTTGAGTGGATTAAATGGGCTGAGCGCCATCGCATTTTTAGGTGTGGACTTGCTCTTAGGGTAGTAAGACTAGGAGGTTGAAGTGGAACGTGGGTTTCTTTTAAACTTTTTTTTATTGTTTTAATTTGTTATTTGACACATTTATCCATACTTGATTAATTTGTTTTTTAAATTTAGTTATGTTGTAATTTAATGAGTTTTGTTAATAATAGTATAGATATATGTGACTACAACATAAGTGGATTAATATAAGTTGTATCTTGTGGTATTTTTATGCTTGTAATTTTCTCAAATATCACTATATATCTTTCAACACCCTCCTCACCTACCTCCTCTTCACAAATTTGTCCTTGTAAAAGAATTTTGTTTTCCCTCTTAAGTTTCCTTTTCTTTCGGTTGAAGTTGTTTTTAGTTTTCAACATCACTGCTTTTGTTGATAAGAAATTTCAAAGATAATTATTGGTTTTGATGAGTGAGACCATCTTCATGAACACCCTTTCATATCTCTCCCTCTCAAAAACCTCCTAATTGGACGAAAAAAACATGGAACATATATTATCAACAGTCATTGTTGCCGCTCTCCCTGTAGCCTAGTGGCTTTGTGTTCACATAAAGTCGTCCGGGTCAACAATACGACTGGCACCAGAAGAAGAAAATAAGTATGTTATATGATGAGTGAGACACTCACATGCATATCACATTTAGCTCATATCATAAATTAAAACATTTTTCGTGATTAAACTTCTAACTTGTCTAACTCGTAATCATGAAAATTCATGGTCCAACCTTCCAAACCAGCTGGCCATGCGGCTTATTCACACCAATAGCGAGCACGGTTGTATTGTGTTTCACCCAATACAAACTCGACCCCACTCTATTGATTCTAATATCTACGAACAGCCAACAATAACAACAAAAAAACAACAACAAAGCCTTATTCCGCTATATGGAGATGGCTATTAGTAGGATTAAATTTTGTTGTTGTTGGTTGTTCGTAAGAGATATTAGAATTAATATAGTAGGGTCAAGTTTAGGTTAGGTGAGACACAATACGAACGGCCGTGTAAAATATTTTCTATTTACAATAAGTGACTGATATATTGATTATCACAAAGTATTTGAATCTTTATCCGATCAACTATTTTAGGTTAGACATATTGCCCCAATTCTATCTTCTCATCTCTGCAAAGTTTTCTCCTTCCTTGAACGCCTGCCAATATAATCAAGGGCAGATATATGCTTGTTCCTTATCTTACTCAAACTCTCTGAAAATATAAAATAATTTCTAACCAATTATATGTTCCCCATAGTGTTGTTTATATATGTAGTCTTCTTATTTGGCCAATATCCAACGACAATCTGAGGCCTTTTGGTTATTGGCTTTTGGGAACCTAACAAGCCACACATGTAACTTTCTGACTGGGGAATATTGACTGCTGAGGAATGCATGTGCTTGCTGCAAGCTTCCCACGTATTTTTTATTTATTTATTTATTTATATTTTATTACTATTGTTCTCATCGAAGTTTTAGAAGAATAACATAACGAGCACATACCGTAATATTCTGTACTAATAATACAATGATATAAAAGATAAATATATATATATATATAGTTGTCTCATTAACCTAAATTTCATGATAAAAGTGTATTCCTACTACTCCCAAGCTCTAGCCCTCGAAACCTCCATTGGCCCCAAGTCATTTTCCTATCTTCAACTAGATCTGACCACCAAGAACTCCAATATTTTGGCATGGAACGGCCTGACATGTCATGCATGACAACGGCTGCCTATATTCAAAGCAAAAAAATACACGTAATAATTGAACACCATTTTATACCGCTCCTTTACAATCAAATGCAATCCACCATCAAACTCAAGAGTTGATCACGAAACGATCATCATTTTGAGATAGTGTCTAGATCGTTACGCTTTTCGTTTGATCGGAAATTCGATCAGAACTTTATATGGCTAACCATTGGTGTTCAGAAGGTGCATTGCACGTAGCTACGATTCCAGATTAACCCTCACATTGCATAAGACTCTGAAAGTGACAAAAAGTAATGCTGAGGTAGAGTTAGTCCCACTCCTTTCCCCATTTTCCAAACAAGCAATTGACGTCATCATGGAAGTTTCTTTTTCGTTTAGCATTGCCGTGTGGTGCACGAGCAAAAGTCCCCATTATAGTGCTTTAAAATATTGCCGAGACTGCTTTTAGAATGATTAAAATATTGTTTGTAAAAGGACTTAAAAGTGTTTTTGGTTTATACAAGCAATTCTTGAAGAAGCATCATTCAAGTGCTTTTCCATGAATATCTATTTATTTTTATTAAAAGTTTCAACGTATTTGAATGACAAATTTGGATTAACTTCACATAATGAGTGTGCCATTATAAATCGAGAATATCAAACTTATTATCCATGAAAATCTAACTTAATACTTATCACCACTAAGTGAGAAATAATGTCATTATATTGTAACACTAAACGAAGAATCAAAACACTCTCTAACAAAGCATTCAAGAACATAAATGATTCTTATGAAAGCTAAACGAACCCGTTTTGTAAAAAATGAAATTAGACATTTGCACACAAGGTAACCCACATTTACATTTTAGTATTTTACCAATCTAAACTGAAAAAAATAAAAAAATAAAAAAAATAAATGAAGAAGAAGAAAAACTCAGAATGAGATCATATCCAGATCTCTGTCTACAGAGCTAACAGATCCGAAAATTCCAACCATTCAATAAATTCGAACCATTCAATTTAAATCTTATAGCTTCATTAGTCAATCTCACGGGTCCACCTCACATACAAACGCAGGCCCTGATCTCTCTCTCAAATAACTCGGATTTATGAGTCCGTCTACTTCGGACTTCGGAGGTAGAGATATACAGATGATATCATTCCAAAAACTCATGACCAATGATTGATCAAAGAAATTTATAACAATAAAATAATCCCATTTGTTTGATTTCGGTATCATATTCACATGTTGTTCCCACCGCACCACCATAACTATTTATCTTCCCCTCCTCTGCCCCCATTATATTATACCACTATAAGACTCACACTTCTCTCTCCCTCTTTCATCTAAACTCTACTTCTTTCTGGTTTCTGTTTCTTTTATCTGCCTCCATATCCCAACTGGGTTTTCTGTTTCTTCCTACTTCTTGGTTTTCTTGCAGAGAAAAAAACACAGGAAAAAGACCATGTCTTCAGTGTTAGGCTCTCAAGGGGTGGTCTTGGCCACCGCCATGGCGGTTTCCGGCACCTTCATCCTCCTCGCCCTCCGCCTCCAGAAATGCCTACCCAATCCTCACGGATACCCAGTTGATCAAATTACCCATCAGTCCTCCCCTCAAATACTACGATCTTGTATATCTTCTGGTATGCTTAACATTCACTCCTCTGTTTCACTCTGTTTTCTTCGTTTCAAGGTTAATTTGGTAGTTTCATACATGGCTGACTTTGTTTTTCTTGGTGGGTTTGCAGATGGAAAGAAGAGGAGGAAGAAGAACAAGAGAGTGCACTTTGCAGAGGACGTCGTGGATCCGATTGGAGACAATCAAGAGTTTAGACGGCAGTACCAGATAATTCCCACTGCTTCTTCCAAATCTTCATCTTCTTCTTTATCTTCTGCAACTTCCCAGAAATACAGAGGATCCATGCCTGCTAATCGGGCGGCTCTGTACAATGGGATTCTCAGGGATCGTGGCTGTCACCGATTGGCCTACTCCTACTGATGAATTCCCACATCTGTTCTGTATATTTTGGGGTTGATTTTCTGTAAAGATCGAGTCTTTTTTTTTTTCTCTTCAATTTGTACAAGTTTTTAGTTTTTTTTCTTTTGCTGATGATAGGTTAAGTAGGTTGGAAGGAATATTCGGAATTTGTATGTAGTACTGGGTTCCACAGGTTTGGTTAGTTGCTGCCGTTTTATGTTTCTTCTTGTAAATTGATTGGGTCGGTTCATGGTGGAATCTTCTGTTA